CCAAGCTCTATCTCATCAACCACCGACCGCTAATCTATGTGGGCCAGCCGTCGAGGCCGGATCGTGCATTGCAGGCACGATTGTGTGCAGTCGCAGTGCGGCGCGAACACGTGGTGTAGACGAGCAATCAACCCCGCGCAGCAACGAGAGCCGATCTGCATCCGGAGAACAGGCACAATTGTCCTTTTCAGATACATCGACATCTCATTGCACAGTGTTGTCCGCACGAGCCTACCGAACAGTATGAGTGATGGCTTGTCTGTACAAGAGGTAATGAATCATCGATGCAAGAGTCGGGAATAAAATACGTGAGGCTAGCTAGCTAGGCTGACCTGTTAGTGACGGTACCAAGGAACGTGGACGGCGCCTGCATGTTCAGGCACGGCGTCATTATTGTTGCATTGATTGATTGTTCTTCTGAAATCCTGGAACAGCTCACGAGCGACTAAGGCTCTTCTTGCTTTTATTGAGAATTTACCAACCTGCCGGAACATTCATCGATCTCCTCAGACAAATGAGTAAATGCAAGGCCACCCACCCGAGAGACTCCACTCACGGTGGGAAGTGCAGGAGCCGTGGGTAGTGATTTCCACCGAACTGTAGCACGCTTTTGCAAGAACGAAAAGCGGACGACTTTGACATCCACGCGGTTCGTGCACGCACAATATGGACGCACTCTGCTTGATCTAGACGGCATGGTTTGGCAGGCTCCTGATCATCCATGTAGACGCAATCGACAAGAATATCTAACTCACTGGTCATCGGCGCGGAGTGTTATCGTGCACCAGTCACCAAATGGTCGTCACTTGCTGTAGCATAGCTGTTCCTACAGCGATGACCAATTCAACCTTTGGCTTAGTCGCCTGTATGACCCTGCCCTACAATGCTCTCATATGTTCAGCCGGGTGTGCAGAGATCACGAAACTGCGATGCTCGGATCTCGTTCACTGAGCATAATCTCACTCTTATGATGTGCGTATGCAGACACTCGTACATTCCGAGTCCATCGCTGATTCATCCCATCGCGCTGCATCAACCATTTCTCCCGCCATTCGCAGCGCGTCGACCCACAGAGAAGGCAGCGTCATCACCTTCGATTGTAAAGAAGAAAAGAGTGATTTGATCTCACCTGAAGTCATCAGACTGTGCGGTGGATACTTCAGCTCTACAGCACCATAATATTGGATCCATCGGACTTGCTTTGTCAGCTGCGCCAAGTATGCAGCCACGCTCACGTGATGTGTCTGCTGATCAGCAATGCTTACATGCGCAACACCAATATATCCGTTGACATGTAACTGCTCAGCACACCACTCCATCAGGATCAACATCCAGAGCCATGACTGCCTGATTGGGTTTGATCCACGAGTGCAGAGTATACTATCGCCATCAGCGTCAAGCTCGAGATAACCGCTTTCAGGAAGCCCAACCTTTGATCCAAGATTTGGGATGTTATTGAACACTGAGAGTATTCCTTTCTACGCGCCTCGGGATATCCTCCCTTCCAGATTGCCCTCGCAAGATGAGATTGCAAGAGCTTCAGAAGTCTTCAGCAAGCGGGTAGGATGTGCGGTGGTCGGAGTCGGTCGTCACTACGTGGTGAAGTACGGCTGCCAGGTCGACCTCAACGAGGGCGAGACGATGCTCCACGTCGCAAGGTTCACCACCGTCCGAGTCCCGCAGGTTTTCGCCCTCTTCCGTGACGAGGAGCACGAGAAGAACTACATCATCATGGAGAGAATATGCGGGGAGACACTGGAGCGACTCTGGCCGAGTTTGAGTCAAGTGGAGAAAGAAGAGATCTCTGCCCATCTCAAGGCCAGCGTGGACGAGCTGCGACGCCTTCCTTCTCCGGGAGCGTTCTGCGCGCTGGAGCGCCGTCCACTCCCCGACGTACTGTTCCGAGAATCGCAGGTCTTTGGCGACGATCCTGGTAGTACATTCGACTCAGAGGAGCAACTCAATAGCTCGCTGTTGAAAGGGTATGCGTCCTCGATGCCTTCATTGAGGGGTAAAGCCGAATTCTATCGCCGATCATGGCCCCTGGTGTTCCATGGACATTCACCAGTCTTTACACACGGAGATATCCGGAAGCAGAACATCATGGTATCAAAAAACGATCGAGAGTGGCGAGTACTGATCCTGGACTGGAAGTGTGCAGGATGGTATCCCACCTACTGGGAGTACACACGGGCTCTTTTCGCGTGTGGACGGTTTGACGATGACTGGGATCTCTGGCTGCACGAAGTCCTGGAGCCCTTTCCTGATGAATACTCTTGGGTGTATACATTTATGCTTGAGTTGTGGTCATAGTGTATTGGCTGATTTATGATGATGTTTTAAGCTGTTGGAAAGCCAGACAGACTGCGGCTGCGTGGGTGTAGCATGGACCGCAAGTTTGGCCCTGACCCAGCGACCGAAGTAATTCTCAGCTTTCCACATAGAGACGCGTGGCACATCAATAGTTGAACACAACTGACAAACGAGCGCGACCTCTGGGCTGCTGGTGTAGAGCGCCATCATCCAAGATCTGTCGAGTAGTCATTCTTATAGCGCGATGGTTGTATTGCGTCTTCGACTCTGTTGTTTGGGCCACCCTGCTCTTACATATCCTTCTATGCTTGCACATAATTGCAGACACCACAAAAAGCTTTGTTCATCTTCGGCCAGCGGCTGGGAGAGATTGTCCTATGTATTAGAGTAGCCAGTAAAGTCTATGGACATACTCGAAAATTTAGGCCTAAGTCATGTGTGTATTATCTGCTGGGGTGAAAATGAGAAGGCCGTGGCAATCTCCCAGATCGGCCATGCCCCTCTGCCAAGACATCATCCCACATTGTTGATTGCGCGACTTGACTCGACCCCAGACACAAGGCTACATTTCTCGACTGACGCCATGACGTCAAAGCACTAATCTGTGTCTGTCTCACTCTCGTCCGCCCACTGCGTTCGTCAAGTTTGGGCAAAGGACTTGATGGATTTCGAAGCTCAGCCGTATCATCTAGCTTTCCGCGCTCATCACCGTCACATCGTCACCTGCTTGCTACTAGACTCAGAGAGGACCCTGACCGGAAGCGATGACGCGAACGTCCATCTATACGATTCCCAAACCGGCGTGCTACAACGAAAATTCGAAGGACACGAGAGTGCCGTGTGGGCAATACAACAACAGGGAGACATACTGGTGTCCGGCTCGACAGATCGAACCGTACGCGTTTGGAGTATCTCCTCTGGTAAGTGCCTGCGTGTATTCCAGGGTCACACATTTACTGTTCGTCACCTCGCAATCTTGCAGCCTGTGAAGATCGGCACGGCTTCAGATGGCTCGTCCATCTTGGTGCCGAAACAGCCTTTGGTCATCAGCGGCTCCCGAGACTCTACCATGAGAGTCTGGAAGCTTCCCCGTCCTGATGATCGTCGGACCTGTCACATCAGTCCTCCGGATGACCATGAGGCTGACGTCCACTCGCTCCGCATCCTCGCTGGTCACCATAAAGCAATATCCGCTATGGCAGCTTACGGCGATACTGTCGTCAGTGGCTCGTCCGTCCGGGTGTGGAAGGTCTCGACGGGTGAAATGGTGCATTGTCTCGCGGGACATTTGCAAAAGATCTTCAGTGTGGTTCTCGATCACGTGAGCAGCAGATGTATGTCCGGGTCAATGGACAATTCGGTCAAGATATGGTCCATCGAGACGGGAGACTGCTTGTTCAGCCTTGATGGCCATACGTCTTTGGTAGGTCTTCTGGAGCTCAGCCAAGGAGTTCTGGTCAGCGGCGCCGTCGACGGCACTCTCCGGACGTGGAACCCTGACGACGGAGTCTGCAGGTCGATTCTGACAGAACATGCTGAAGCGATAACTTGCTTCCAGCACGATCAGCAGAAAGTCGTGAGTGGCTCCGATCGCGCTCTCAAGTTGTGGGATACACGAACGGGGCAGTATGTGCGCGACCTGCTGTCAGGATTGAGCGGAGTATGGCAAGTTCGATATGACGAGCGGAGATGTGTTGCTGCGGTCCAAAGAGATGGGCTCTCATACGTTGAGGTATGCGTGGAGCGACTGACGTTAACAAGAACAAGAGCTTATTCATTGTAGGTGCTGGATTTCGGCGCGGCTAGGGACGGTATATCGAAGAGCATGCGAGGTCGCCGAATCGTGGTCGACTCGCACGGACGCGAGGTAGAGACAGGCAAGGCAAAAGCAGAAACGTAATTAGCACCTGCGCATGCGATGTAGCAGACACAGTGGAGAAAATCAATTCCTCTTCTCCAGGATCGAGTGGGACTTGCTTGCGAGAGCTTGTGATGCCACCAAAGCCCGATTATGCAGCTGGACACGGGAGGGAGACATGTGTGACGGGCCTGATTGAGCTGTTGTCCGGATGCGATCGACAGACCTCGCGACCGAGCGACCAAGACTGCTGATAAGTGTTGTTGAGCACTCTTCTGTAGAACTGCCGAAGAGAACAAGGCCATGGCGGTCACACTTTGCTACGTGATTATGCAATCAATTGTCTGCCTCGTTCGCTTTGCATCTGGGTGCCAAGCGCTTCGACAGGTATACCGACGGATGACGGCGGTGACAGCGTCCGCGCTGCTTCCGTTCGAGCTTCGTCCCGCATGCCACCCCTCTAATTATTCGCTCGTCCTCCCACGACGTCCTCACCGCAGCTCTCGACACCGGCGCGGATTCATCCAACCTGCTTTTTGAGCACATCGGGGCTCGTCCTTGGGTCGTCTCTGCCATCGTCCTTTGTGTTCGCAGCGACCATCGCCACGACTGATTTAGTCCGCTGTTCTAAATACCCACGGCTTCCAGGTCTGGCACCGCTGGCAACCCACCCTCTTGCTTTCGCATCGAAGCCGACTCTAGTCAGTGCTGCCGAGATTCCGTGCACGCAGACCTGTGCAGACCGCCGCCGCCGCCGCCGCCGCCACCCCCGCCGCCCCCGCCACTACTTGTACCACACGCTTGTCCGCCACCCAGGCGCAAGCATTATGATTCAACCCATCAAGAGTTTTGCGAGGAGAAACGATCGCTGCGGTCTCGTCAAGGCAGAAAAACAGCTTCAGAAGCAACCACGGTCGAGGCACTTCTCTGACCTGTCGACCACGAAAAACTGTACTCCCAGTAACCCAGCGAACGACCTGCGGAAGGCTTTGCGAGTGAGCAGCTCGGTTAACAGTCACCTGAAGTCTGTTTGTCCGCGAACGAACGCATTTGCGGACCTCTCAAATAGAGTTGCCGGAATCACCATCATGCAACCCCATCTTCTCTTGACTTTAGCTGGGTTTGTTTCGCGTATAGGGCTTGGCCCAAAAGAGGACAAAAGCGAAGCTGGCATGCCTGGGGCGCTAAATCATGGGCTACTCAAAATACAGTACCAGCGAAAATGACGAGATAATGCGTCCGCCGATGTTCAGACTGTGGGAACTGGAAATTCCTCCAAGATACACTTTCTAGCACAGAGATTTATTTGCTCACAAACAGTTTACTCCTCAGAAACGAAGACCTTTGTCAGAATAGGTGGTTCTTCCATGACAGCAGAGAGGTACGTATGATTGGAGAAACCAGCGCAAGTGCTTGAAACCTTATCCAATAGTGTCTGGGACGCCCAGGAGGAGAGGTGGGATGAGCAACCTGGCTCGTTTCTTGCAAGGGAACTCTCAAGTTGCTTGTTCAAGCAAGCCCTTATACCAATTTCAAAGCACCGGGTATGCTGTCATGCACTGTACACTATTTTGGGATGTCACGAATACCGAGGATTATGACTGTGGCGAATAGAAGCCGCTCGTCGTCCTCTTGAGACGGCCTACTTGTCCATTCAACTCCATACATGTAAGGAAGACCTGTCCCTAACTAATTTATCCGTACCAATCCCACCGCGTTGCCGGCCTTCTGGACCATGTCGCATAGGCGTGTAGATTGCGAGACCCTCGGCATATCGATTGCGTTTATGGCAGCAAAGAGTTCGTAAAGCTCGTCTCCACACATGATTGGGGCAAACTCGGTGGCCTCCTCATACTCGACATTCACAGTCGCAACTCCATCACCGATGTTGCTCATGATGTCTCCCAGGAGGCGCAGATCGGTGTTCTCTTCAAGAAAGCGTCGTTGTGCCTTGAAGAAACCTGTGTAGAGTTCCCACTGCTCGACTCTGCGCACGACCATCGCCGGCAGCGGCCCGCTCTCGCGCCAGGGGGATGCGAGAAAAGCTTGATAGAGGCGTTTCAACACCGACGACTTGAGTTCGTCCAAATAAAAAAGCGGTGCCTGTTGGAATCTGATGGTCATCGCTTGTGTTCCTTTGAGAAACCGTTGGCACTGCGTTCTGCGTAGAAGACGAACGAGACCTGCTTCTGAGAAAGCCACTTCGTGCACGGTAAAATGCTTGCGCCTGATGAGACTGCGTATACTTTCCTCTATACGTGGACATGTAGCACGGAGGGCAAGCAGGTCGTTGAGCGGTAAGTAGATGGCGATGGCTTCCAAGAGCTCGTTAGGACAAATCATCAAGGACGACATAGCTTGCGAGGAAGACTTGTTGTGTCAAGTTTACTACATGGAGGTCAAAGAGACTTCATACCAGAGCTGTCATATAGTCCTATCCATGTACTATTAATACTCTGGACGGCTAGACTTGGATTGGAACATCTAGAGACAGGTCACATGCGCGTTCTATGTAATGAATCATGTGCTCACAGTTTGCCGGATCCAAGGCTTACTTGGTAAGTTATCGAGCTCGATAGAGGCACACAAGATAGCTCTATTCCTGCATGTCGCCTTGGATGGCTCTACGCGATTTATGACACGCCCTGCATATTCCACAGCATATTCACGCAAGATCTGCTGTAGGTACAGGACAATCGCCTGATAACATTCAGAGACCATCGGAAGAGCTACAACGACAAGAGGATCGACGGAGTTGATTGAGGGCGGGAGACGAAATGGAGTAGAGAAGGCTCTTGGCAGCGCTCAGTCCCAGAAAAAGCTTCATAATATGAGTCAAGAATTGCTGTGACGTCGAGAGAGGAATTGTTGAGCCAGCGACGAGATCGGATTTGAAGAAGAGAAAAGGCAGATGGTTGGGGAAGTTGGACACCACGAAGGAAAGAGGTCCGTGTAGGCCAATGACACGCTCCTTGACGAGGATGGTTCAAGCAAGGCAGGCACGTAAGCTACTGCTATCAAGCTCAAGAAAAACAGCTCCAAAAATAGAGTCAAGCTCACTGGTGGACCCGTCGAGCAAAACGATCTTTGGTTGCAAGAGAATGTAACACGTTACTCCCGACCTCCCAATATGCCATTTCGGATCGATGTGCTACTTTAAACATCAGCTTACTTCTCGGGACCGAAGGGGTCAATCAAGCTCTAGACTCTACTGCCCATCTCTCGATATGTTGTTCATACATAATGACGAGGGGATATTTTGAGGTCACATAGAGAGAGAGAGAGAGCTCCAAAACGAAGAATCTCTCGAACAGTCAGAAACCCAATGAGACCGTCCTTCTTATCCTTGCAATATACAAGTCTTGGCGAAAGGCGCAATGCCTACAACACACAAGACATAGCTTGCAAGTGCATCGAAAAGAATTATATCTTTGCTATCGGACAGCCCAACAAGAGCTAAAAGCTCGCCTTGTGATGAAACTAACAACATGGCCACTAACAGGAGATCCAGATGTGTCTGGAGACAAGTTTGCAGACATTCGGTCATGCGTGTTGGGAAGATAAAATAGCACAAAGACGCAAGAGAGAAGAAACGAAGAGGTGAGAATGACAACAACCTGGTCGATATCACACAAACACTTTTCGAGATGGACTGGCCACTTCGATTCACTAATCAGTTGGAAACATCTAGTATGCGGCACTCAGTATGTCTGAGACCAAACGTGATGGCCATATGTGATAAGCTCTGGTCGTTTGGTGGTTATATCCTGTTTTTCAGATTGCTTGATTGGTTGTATTCATGAGTCTGAGAACCTATATACCTGGTATCGACAGGAATATGGACAGGAAGGTATGAGATATGGATATGTAGCTTGGTATTCCAACAAGAAACCGAACAGCCTCCTAGTCTTGACTTCTTGGAATACCTTGAAGATCTGGTACCGCATACCTGTTGGTACTTGCGTATCCTGTAGTTTATGCTCGTATATCGTTCTAAGCAGGGTTCAAAGGGTGTGCAATTTGTATTGATGACACTATCCCAACACGCACAAGCGTGATGGTACGTTTACAGGCTAGTTGAGTATGCCAATGTTTGGGATAGGGTTATAGCTATTGGGGAAAAAAAAAAGCCACTTGATCTTGCCTAACATGTGGCACAGCACTTGCGGATATTGTGGGATTCTTGCAATGGCTGACATGCAGGAATTTCTATCTATCTTGCGGTGTTGGGCATATATTCTTCCGAGTGGAGGCGCTACAGCCTTTTGTCGATGTAGGTATTCGAGAGGGTATCGATGGCTCCTGCCGTAAATACATACTGACGTACTGTGACCACGATATGAATAGTAGCTACCTAGGCCAGTTTTCTGTACTTGTGCGGGGGCCGTCTCGAAATATAGCTTTTGAACCAACGGCCAAAGACACTGATTTTTCCTCCCCACTTGGAGAGTTCGATGGTTCTTGGATTCCGCATACGAGGATACACGGAACCGAACGTGATGTTGCAAAGGTAATAAGGTATCACTCAAGTGTGGGAGATGGCGAAATCTAGACATTATATGTCCAGAACTCATCAGTGATGCTCAACACATGATGTGATGGCCCGGCAGCTCTGCTGCTCCCTCGTGATAAGGTAGATAGTAAGTCTTTTATTGATTGGATCGTGTCAAGATAACCGACTTGTGTCATCCTCGCTTGCACGTTATCGGGGTTCGCGACATCTTCCTCTCCAAGTGCGATGCTGCGGTCTCAACAAGGAAGATCCAGGAAGCGACATCCACCAGTATCATCCTCCTGTTGATCTTTCATGTCAAATGCTTGGGTGCAACGATACTGTTACTTCAAATTGTAACATTCGAATCATACTCGCGCTAGATGTGGGCCTGTTTCAGGTAGTTCGAGTTTGGAGTGTGGGTTACACAGATGCATCTCGCTGACAATGTCTCTGATAACACAGCGGAGCTTCTACAAAGCTTGTGTCGTAAGCTCCATGACAGTCTCTCTCCAGCGGTATCCATTTCGGGACGAGACTTAGGAGCTCGTATCCTCAGGGCTGGCCGTGATAGAACGAAAAACAATGGGGGTTTGCTTTCTGATAGATGTTTTATTTTTATGTTTTCTTACTGTTGCCACTGTTAGTCCTGACATCTACAGATGCTCTTAGAATGCTTACACGACGCGACTTCTCAAGCCTGCTTGGTCAGAGATTCTCGAATGACGGTCTGGAACCGAGAGTCTGCCTCTATGTTGCTCACATAAGCATAATTCGCAAAAGTCTGCGCGAGACCAAGATTGGCGACGACTAAGGTCAATGCCCACAGCTCGAAGTGAGCTTGCGTCTGATGTGTTTCGTAAAGAATGCAGACCAACAATTCCCAGACAATGCTAGGCACGTGATACCGCCAATGTGGGAACAGTGATCAGACACCCATCTATCTGTTGTGCGGGGCAAAGCTGCAGCTATGATAGGGACCAGGGGTGCAGATATGGAGGTCCGAGCGTTCATCCAATACCGTAATATTACAGCTGGCGTAAGCGAGATTCATATACAGTGGGTGAACAAAAGTTTCGCAAAGCCAGCTCCTTGGCAGCTTTCCGCGCGCCCACCCCCTTCGTTTCGATTGAGCGCGCTGGGTACAACAACAATAGAAATACCCATACAAATTGTACCGGAATGATCCTGAAACTCTGAAGATCATCTAGCTCGTTGGGCTTATCCAGAACTAATCAATATCGCGTGTACCACCCTCTTGCGCTATATACGGCTTGAAGTCGCTCTGGCATTGATGCCACACAGTTATATGCGATAGAATCACGAATTGTGCCCCATGCATGAACCAATGCGTCTTC